GACTCTGTAAACCGCTTAGAGAGGGCTGGAAGCCCTTTGAAGCGGTATATAAGTCTTAACTGCTATTGCTATTGCTATAGTGGTGGCGAACTGGGAGTACTATTATGTGCCCCAGTCTTACTATCTTCTATAGTGGTGGCAAACTGGGAGCGTGTACACGTGGGAGGGCCATGTGTACAATGAAAGAGCAGTTAAGCTTCCGGTTTCCAGTACGCACAACATGCACAATTTCATCAAAACAGCAGAGTAAATGAAGTATTGCTTTGTTTTACAATATTCCACAAAGAAGTTCTTTATACATTTGGACTACAAAGCTTCTAAGGTATTAAAATATGATGTTTAAGTGCAGATTTCATGTTCCCTTGTTACAGCAAGATATTGGTGTTTGTTTTTTCTTCATTTTACTTGATTTAGCAATAACATCCTTTTTTTACCCAGTAAAATAAGTCTATATAAGGGTTACTACAAATATTATCGGGACTTGAATTTCATTAATTATTGTATGATTTATTTGATCAGTTTCGTAAAAAAAATAAAGAATATTCTTACCATTATCTTGAGAAGACTGAGAATTATTTATTACCAGCTTTTTCACAGAGTTCTGTTGATTTACTTCTGATGTAAAATATTCACTTGTCTTCCGAGAATAGACTTCGGGCACTAGTTTGGATGTCGTATGTTGTACATCTTTTAAGAAAAAAAGCATAGCAGTATTATGAGAAATAACCTGTCCAGTTATAAGAAGTCTAATTATACAATTTTACTAATCAGTACAGCAACCTTTTTCAAACCATTGGTCCCAGATCTCCTCACTAGCATGTCAATGGATATGAGTTATGAATATTACAGTCTAATAACTGAGGAATCAAAACCCAGAAACTTGGCCTAATTCAGAGTTCCCCAATCTTTCAGACGTGGGGGGAGAGGAGGAAAAAGGGGATGGTTCTGTGTGAGTGGTCAGCAAGTGCATGCATACAACTCCATTTGCACGAGCAGTGGGCATACGCCAGAGGTGGGTTCCTACCAGTTCGCACCTATTCGGTAGAACCGGTTCGTCAAATCTACCGAACTGGTTAGAAGAGGTTCCACCAGTGGACCTGGAAAGCAGGCCACACCTAAAGGAGAGGTTCCAAAAATTTTTGAAACTCATCACTGTCACACACACACACACACACACACACACACACACAC